AGATGACTGCTTCTGTTTGAGCAACACTACATCACCCACTTGTAAGTTGCGACATGCTACTTGCCACTTGCGTCTTGGCTGCAGAGTGTGTAGATATTCATTTCTCCATCGGGTCCAGAATTCATCAGCAAGTACCTGTACTTGTCTCCACTGGCACTTCAAAAGTTCTTTTCCAACAAACTCGCCAGCTGGAGGTGGTACACCAGGTTTCTGCGTTATTATCATAGCGGGAGTCAGCAGCAGTGGTGAAGAAGGATCGGAGGAGACTGGGATCAATGGCCTTGCATTGATTATAGCAGACACCTCTGCCATCAAGGTACAGAGCACTTTATGAGTCAGGGAACTGTGTTTACCGTGAGACAACATGGAGTCCAGTATCCTCCTGGTTACACCAATCATGCGCTCCCACACACCTCCCATATGCGAGGCATGTGGAGGGTTGAACTCCCATGTACAGCTGTGTCCGTAGAGGTAACTCAGGATCTTGTTTTGACTCTGATCATCTTGTCTTATTCCTAATTCAGAACATGCTCCAACAAAGTTTGTACCACAGTCTGACCTCAGCTGCTTCACAGGCCCTCTTAAGGCAAAAAGTCTGCGTAGTGCATTGATGCAGCTGCTTGAGTCCATGGACTCAATGACTTCTATATGCACAGCCCTGGTACTCATGCACGTGAAAAGGATCGCCCATCGCTTACTCTGAGCTGCTCCACCTCGAGTTCTTCGGGTGATTACCTCCCACGGACCAAAAACATCCAACCCTACATATGTAAAGGGAGGAGACATGCTCAGACGTTCTGGGGGAAGGTCGGCCATTTTCTGGACTTCCAGTTTTCCTCTCAGCTTTCGGCAGACAATACAGGAATGGATTACAGAGCTAATCAACCTTTTGCCGGCAACAATCCACAGGCCTTCCGCTCTGATTGCCCCTTCTGTAAACTGTCGTCCTTGATGTTTTATCTTTTCATGGTAATGGGTCACTACCAATTTGGTCACATGATTCTGTTTTGGGAGAATGATTGGATTTTTCATTCCAAGACTGACAGTGGAGTGTTTCAGACGTCCACCAACCCGTAAAAGACCGTTGCACATGAAAGGGTCTAGCTTCAGGATTGTGCTTGTCTTTGAAATTGCTCTATTCTCTTGCAGTGCAATATACTCTTCTGGATAAGCGTCCCTTTGGACCAACCTAAGTATGGTCAGCTTTGCTGCCTCCAGTTCTTCTGGAGTATGAAGTTTGTTGCACATATGCCATCCTCTACATGTATTTGGGGGTTTGGTACTGAATGATTGAGTCTGGTGGCTCAAGAAGGCAACTGCTCTCAGTAAAGACCTCCAGGTGGAGAAGCGTTGGAACCTATTTGAAGTCGACTTACCCTCGGTTATATGGGTAGCACAGGATGTCAGCTGTGGTCTTACCTCCACATCTGCATCTGGTTCCACCAGCTCAAAGGGCTCATGTGTT